TTTTGTTCTGTAAACTTCATACACAGCACATGCATTAATATTGTTAAATTAGTTAATGTTCCAAAAATCACAAAAAACATCCACCATAGTACTTTTCAATACAAACTCTTTATTTAAACTCCAAACTTTTCCAACTTTGCCAGCACAATAAACTGCAGTAAAAACGTAAAAACACTCTTCTTACAAACTGTAACAGTTTGAAAAAGCCAGCGATTATTTTCTTCTTTTTACACTCAACTTTGGTGCCTCTGTAGATAAGAGACTCCTTCATCAGAGAGAGAGAGAGAGAAAAAGAGTTAGAACAAAATTAGTTGTTTCTTTTTTAAATGATTGCAGTGAGCAAAATGAGTGGACAGATTTAATAGGTACACACCCTTAACAACAAAATATCTGCAGTGTATATCATATCAAACGTACCTTTTATCACATCATCCCTCAACATTTAATGTCCCCCGCAACCACTTTAAATTAATTATTAAAAATTGGGCCTTAGGGTCAACAAGGTGAAGAACTTTCAGTTCTGTTTTAAAATGAAGGTGTGAAATATGAAAATACTGCAGTATTTCTGAGCTGTGTAGCTGTAGACTTGGGTGTTTCAGTGGTTACTTACTACTAAAGTACAAACACCTGACAAATCGCATGACGCAGACACTACAGTCTCTGTTTCACCCCACAATGACTGATGATCAAATTAGTTACAGCTAACATACAGCTGACATGTTGACTGGAACCTCTGAACGTCTGTTTCACTAGGAAAAAATAAATAAATAAACAAAATAATCTGTTAATGGGAAAACAGTAAATCAGGTTAAATCGTCTAACGTCTTCAAACAATTTAACTGTTGACAAATTCTCCCACCACCGAAAATTCAATCAAATGATAATTTTGCGCGTCTCAAACGTCAGACTGAGGGAATGTCAATAAAAGAAAGAAAGAAATAATAATAAAAAAAGAAAACCTTCTAATTTTTAAACCTTACAAATCACAGACTTTTTTTTTTTTTTAAACGTCACCACAGTTGACACCGTCCACTGAATCTGGGGTTTTCCTCGTTTTACGCCTTACGCTTGCTACCTGTTGTCTTCCTGTTGCATGTGGTTCAAGCCGAGGCTCTCGGACAGACGCTGACACTTCTTTGTTAATCTGTACCGCCGTTAACGGTCGAGGTGGTCAGATGGAGTGCGCTGATTGGTCTGTTTGGAATTCAGGCGCGTTACCATCAAATGCACTATCGATGGAGGTGCTTTTGAAAACCTAAGGCTGTGTAGTAGTGATGGGAAGACCGACTCTTTTTATTGATTCGAATCTTTGACTCTCGAACAGTAAAATGAACGAGTCGTGAACGAATCTTGAACTAATCATTTCATTCGTTTTACAGCAGGTGGCGCTTTAGCCCTATTGTGGACGTTGTAAAGAAGGCTGCGGTTCTCCGACACTAAATACTGAAGGCATCATGGTTTGCTGACAAAGTCTACAAAGTACACAAAATGTCATAAGCAATTAAAACCATGCGAAAAGCTAAGAAATAAAAACACACCACAATGTGAAGATGAATGAGAGCAAAAAAGACCCGAGCTCTTTCACGTGACAAATGAAACGAATCTGCGAGAACGAGGCGAAAGATTAGTTCACAGAGAATGATCCGTT